TCACAAATATTCTAATGTAGGCTGTGTCCGATTAGTTTTGATAATGGGTGCAATCCCGAGGCTAACGTTAGCCAGAGCTGCTCTGATACAATTGCAAGCTGACGTGGACGTATTTGGATATTAAGGCTATCTACGTCTGCGTGCAGACGTCGCCGCCTCCCAAGGCAGGCGTGGTAGTCAATCTACGAGTGAATGTGGAACGGTAGCGCGCTGCGCTTTCATTTGAGCGACGTAATGCTGCCGCTTTTCCAGGTCTGCGTAAACACTTCAGACGCGTTGTTCAATCAAACACGATAAGGAAAATTTACCATGGGCCCACATAGCGGCGCCGATTCTGTTCGACACTGTGAAAAGCAGCCCCACGAGAGGCAAGCCCTCGAGGAGAGCAGCAGCGAAACCGAATGCTAGAATTGAAGGACGACTGGTCAACCAAGAGCGTGTGAGTTAGGGGTGCAGCTCCTACCTCTGTAATCCCACTTGCGCTCTTCTATGAATACAGCAATTTGGTCCTCAGTCATCTTCTTGGCTTTGAAGTACTATACGACATGAAGTTAACCGTCCATTCAGTTCAGAGCAAAGGATAGCAAGCCTCACATTACGATGAAGATGACGGCCCGTGCCCAGAGCTCTAAGCCATGCTGAGATCACAATGCCAACCAGGGGCAGCAGATGCAGCGGAGACAGCGCCACTATATGGAGGCGTCAGCGTAGATGTCGGTTCTCCGCGCCCGGCCGACCCACTCTTGATAGTCACCCTACCAAAGACGCTACTCGCGAACTTCGTGAGCCGCGACCTGGTCGGCTTGGGTGGATTGTCCCATTCCTCGACGTATGGCTGCCAGAACTCGGGACCCTTGCCACGAGAGGTGGTCGTCTGCTCGTACACGCGGTCGCGGGCAGTGCGGATATTCTTGGACACGAAGAACGTCACGATGGCTGTCGCCTGTGTTGAGAGAAACATAAGAGTGGCATCTGTTTCAAATGTGTCGGCGAAGATCTGCACAGAGTCAAGGAAAAGAGGGCTGCGAACATGTCGGAAGATCAAAAGGCATACGGATGCCAAAGACCGCATCCCGCGAGAGGCCAGTCACGGACGGCGACCTAGGCAGGATGTAATGAGCATTGCAATTTGAGAGAAAGATGACACGCACTTTATGAGGAATACCTCTATGAACTTGCGCTGGATCTTGAACGTCAGGACTGCCTTCACCGCAGCACACCTTTAGCGTTCACCCCTCCGCTAGGAGAGCACCACGCACCCAAGCGAGTGCAACGCCTGCACCCCTCAGTACACCATGCTCGCATTTCCGCCATGCTGGGATAATCAGGTTCTTGTCCGTGAGTAGCCGGTATACGCCAACGACCACATATGACGGCGGAAACCGCAGGCGTGCACTTGCTGCGCGCAGGTTCTCAGGGACATTGTCGCTATGCAAGTGCCTCGATTCATGCTTTGCATGCGCGTACTCGCCTGGAACTGGGACTTCGGACATATTTGAGCAAGGGTGGGCAGGACAAGTGAATTGCAGATGTGAAGGCCGTTCTGGCCGCTTGGCGGCAGCAGGCAGAAGGCTATGAGCAAATACTGCTGACGAGATGGAGGACTTGCCGCGGCTACACCTCGGCATGTTTTATGCGCGATGCGCGCATTCTTGCTCCCATCCTTCCATCTTCTATACTACCATGCTAGCTACGCATCTCGGCAGAAGCGTACGATCTAGTATTAGACTCGCAAATCTCACAAAAGGCGCACTTCCGAGACAATTCTCGAATACAATTCCCAAACGCGTCCGATATGTACGCTTCGAGGAGGCACCAGGACCAAATTACAAGCCCCAGAAGCCATGGTGGGACATGTCAGGCTGGAGCACTCGTCACAGGGTGGTCGCAGCTGTAATATCGGGCGGCGGTGTGTACTATGTGGCACAGTGCGTCTTCAACCTCGCTCACTCCCTCGGTTAGCTCATGCATGACCACGCCAACTCGTTTGATCGCACGCAGCCTGGAGCAGGTGCCCGAGACAGGACGGTGGCGTTTCATGGACGTCGGGCCCAAAATGGAGGCACGCGTACGTCCCTGCTTTTCCGTATCGCGTGCTGCAGCAGCGCTAACAAGTCCCGAAGCTCACTGCAGAGTCTCGAAGACAGCTCAAGGAAGAGCTTGGTGCGAAGACACTGCCTCCAGATCATCCACTTACGCGGCACGTACATCGCATCGTCACACGCATTCTCGAGGCGAACCATCTTGGGCACCTGAAGAGCTCGACACCCTCTACCGCTCCGTGGTCCGCCGGCACACACGACGACGCGTACTTAACTCCCGAGGCGCAGCTGCCCGCGGGCTCTGGAGACAAGGAATGGGAGCTTATGGTGATCAAAGACGACAAGGTTGTTAATGCTATGGCGAGTTTTGGTGTGTACGCTGCTTCCATTTGTGAGATGGGGTGCTGACTTCGGCGCAGGCACCGTCATCGTATTTACAGGCATTTTGCCTCTGGCGAAGGATGAGGAAGGTCTTGCAGCGGTCCTAGGACACGGTAAGTGCGATATCGCACGCTTGATAGTGGCAATTACTCATGCAGTCTTCCGCTAGAGATTGCCCATGCAGGTTGGTGCATCACAAGATTCAACCCCGCAGCAGGGCTAACGCTTCCAAAGTTGCCAGACATAGCTTAGAACGGTATTCCTCCAGCAAGATCCTCCCCCTTTTCTCGACGCTACTAGTTACCGCTACCGGCCTCGACTTTGGGTTCTCTTCTATGCTTTCGACGCTCCTGCTCGAGTTACCGAACTCTCGCAAGCAGGAACTCGAAGGTAACATTTAATGGCTCTCGCTGCTGCACAAGACATCTCACTGTATGCGTAGCGGACGAGATTGGGCTGAAGCTTGCAGCCAAGGCATGCTACAATCCGAGTGCAGCGCCAGAGTGGGTGCCCGCAACTCTCCCAGTTCTCCAAGACATGCTCAATATACAGTATCAATAGAGTCTTTCAACGCCTGGATCGCCTAGACAAACAGAACAGGGGGTTGAACATCAGCTTCCTGTACACCCACCCAACTTTTGAGACGCGTATCGAGGTGCGTCGTCCACTAGACCTTTCGTACTTACAACAATGTTGACTGTATGCGTATCAATTATGATAGCGCCTGAATGAGCTCCTGGGAGACGCATACTCAATACGTGCCGCAAACCCCGAGTGTGTGAACACACAGGAGCAATTCGCGGGTTTCAGAGACGCCATGGGCCTGGTCAAGGGCCCGTCACAGACGGTGTGGGGATGGGCATAGCAGAGTCCAGCGAACGTTTGTGGGTGTACATCACACTTGATCGCTTGATGACAAGTGGGTGAATAACTTGGTCTTGCCAATGCGAGAAATGCTACGTCCAAGAATGCTATCCATCACATTCGTATCCAGAATGCTAGACGGTTGAGTTGTACAAGAAATCGCATCTCGCTAGAGGCCATCCGCGGACGGCGATCTGGGCAAGAGATTGCACGTACGGTATTTTCACAGAAGGGCAGTGCGCACATCATGAACATATCTGCGAACTCCCTCTGAATATATCTTGAACTTCAAAGCTGCCTTCATCGTGTTACGCTTTCAGTGCCCGCCCCCCACCCTTCGACACGTCATGCTGTGCTTCTGCCACGCCGAGATAATCAGAGTGTTTTAATAATCGGCGAAGAGCCGGTACACGCCCACGATCGCATGTGATGTATGTGATGGTGGGAGCTGTGGGCGTGCTATCGCCGCGCAGGTTTCCAGAGACTCTACGAGAACCATACTTCTCGCGTACTTGCCTAGACTGCAGACATGAAAATCGCGTTCGATGATAGAAGGCCCTGGGCAAATGATGCTGACGAGAACCAAGGTATGCTATGCTGCATCGCGGCACGATATCGATGTACACGCACTTGCCGTGCCGTGCACGTGTGGCGTACCTCCGGTATCTGACTGCCAGAAACTCGTTCTCGTCCTTCGTCTGCCACTATGCTGCCAGTACACCTCAGCAGAAACCTGCGATCTGGCACTGGGCTCACAAACCTTACAAGACATACGCTTCGAAGGCAATATGCAAGCAAAGTTCCCAAACGCAAACAAGATGTGTCCGAATTCGAGGGCGCTCCAGGGCCAAACTATGAGCCCTGCAATCCACAGGGCGTGCCGGGACGTTGGAGCTTTCGCCGGAAAGTGTTCGTCACCTTGTCAGTCGTGGGTGGTTTCTACTATGTGCTACAGTGCGTCCTCAGTCTTGCCCGTCCCCCCAGTCAACTCACGCGTGACCTTGTCCGGACTCGTTGCGCCGCACACAGCCTAGAGAGAGTGCCCGTGACAGGGCGGTGGCGGTTCATGGATATCGATCCCGAAACGGAAGCACTCGTGCGTTTATTGTTCCTAAACGCACGACATGACATTGCTGACCACTACCAAAGCTGACCGTGGTTTCCCGAAAATATCTCAGGGAAGAGTTTGGTGCGAAGATACTCCCCTGGAACCATCTCATCACACAGCATGTACAGCGCGTTACTACGCGCATTCTCGAGGAGAACTACCTTGGGCACGTGAAGGCTTCAACGCCCACCGCGGCTTCTTGGTTCTTCCGCGCGAAGGACAACGCATACGTGAGCCCTGAGGCGCTGCTACCCGTGGGCTCTGAAGACAAGGAATGGGAGCTCATGGTGGTCAATGATGATAAGGAAGTCAATGCCATGGCAAGTTTGGGTATGCAGGCCTCCTGTCGATGATACGGGACGCTGACTTTCGGAGCAGGTACAATTGTCGTGTTCACGGGTATTCTGCGCGTAACGAAGAACGATGATGGTCTTGCAGCGGTAATGGGGCATGGTGAATATGACATCGTACTCGATGGTAACAGTTACTGATGCGGTTGTCGGTTAGAGATCGCACACGTAGGTTAGTGCATCGCACAATTCAATGTCACCCAGGGGCCAATACCTCGAAGTTGCCAAACACAGCTTGGAACGTTATTCCTCGCGCCTAATATACCCTCTCTTCTCCGCGCTCCTTGCGGTAATTGGTACGGACCTTGGGCTTGCCTCGGTACTCGCGAGGGGTCCACTCGAGAGGCGGAACTATCGCAAGCAGGAGCTTGAAGGTGATGCATATGACCATATGATTATCTGAAATCACTCAACGTATACGTAGCCGACGAGATCGGTTTGAAGCTCATGGCTAGGGCATGCTATAATCCGAGTGCATCGCTGAAGTAAGTGCTTTCGACCTACATATCGTCTCACATGATTACACGCTGCGCCGACAGATTCTTCCAGCGCATGGAGCAGTTTGACAAACAGAATCAGGGGCTGAACATCGGCTTCCTGGAGACCCACCCAACACACAAGAAACGCATTGACGTACGCATTCCACTCCGTCTCAGCACGCTAGTATTGACTATATGCGCGTCGGCTACAACAGCGCCTGAACAAGCACTTGGAAGACGCGGACTCGATACGTGCCACGAACCAGCACTGTACGGGCATTCAGAAGTATTTCACAAGCTTCGTGAAAGCTGTAGTGTGGGGATGGACATAGCAGAGTCCGGCGGACCCGATCAACCTGTGGGAGAAGTGGCCAATATGAACGTCATCATACTAACACAAGAGATGCAACGTTCAAGGAGTCACGGATTGTACAATAATACGAGAAACAGTAATGACACGAAGTAGAGATTTGGAATACACGTCTCCTAGTGCTTGCTGGCGTACTGTATACTGCTGGAGTCGTGAAGGTATTATTAAAAGCTCTACATGTAGGTGGTGGAAGAACACAAACACAGACTGAACCACTTCTGTCGAGGTCTAGCACTCTGGCCCTCGCACACTCTCGGGGCTCATGCGTGTCGCGAGCATCGGTTTTCCGACGTCCGCCTTAGGAGACGCTTCCGGCCGACGAGGCAACGTCGGCGAGAGCGATCGTGAGGGAGACGGCTGCGCGGGTTGCGGCGCATGACCGGGTGTCGTGGGCGCAGCCGGCGGGCTCTGTGATGCGTGCGTTGCGCTGCCGTTCGCGGACGCGGGTGCGGATGCAGGCGCGGACGGAGGCTTGGGCGCAGAAGTTGCAAACGGCAGGGTCGGGCTTTGCATGGGTGTTGACACCGACGGCCTTCGACGCGAATCGTGTAGAGTGTCCGCGTTTTGCGGCGACGTGGCGAGAAGCTTAGGTGAGCCCTGGAAACCTGCTCTCGCGAGCAGCGACTGCACCGCTGCAGCCGTGATCTGCGGCGTGGGCGTCGAGGGTGTGGTCTGTCTCGCGGCGTTGTGTTGGAACGTCGGGTCCGAGGAAGTGCGTGGAAGCAGCCGTGGATGGTCTTGCTCGGTGCCTTGTGTCGTCGCGGGAGGAGACAAGGCGCCGCCCTGCTGCTGGAGGAACTGCTGCTGATGCTGAGCGAAAAGCGATCGGCTTGGCGAGGACAGCTGCGAGGGCAGCTCAGGTGAACTTGGGGCACTGCTCTTCGCGTTGCGGATCGGTGCGAGGCGGTCCACTATCCCACCTACACGCGGGTGCTCGTTGTCTGGGTCGGGCTTGATCGGGATAGGGGGTGGCGTCGGCGTAGCTGATGATTGAGAACTGGCCACGTTAGTGGATTGGAGAGCATCGGAGGTGGGTGTGGTGTGGTGTGACTGTGGTGACTGTCGCTCGGCAGAGGCTGGCGCCGCAGGGCCCGCAGGAAGGTTCAAATCCATACCGTCTCGCGGGGCCTTCCGCGGGATGGCAGGCGGACCCATACCATCTGGGACCTTAGTCTTGAACGACTGTTGGGTAGTATCAGATATTGAGGTCTGTGGTGTCGTAGATGAAGCAGCGCTAGCTGGCTTAAAGGCGGCAGGGAAGGCCTTGGCAGCGGTCGAGGTGTGGGAAGCAGATGAGGAAATCTTCGAAGTGGAAGGGAAGGGCTTTGAGGTCGGCGCGGATACTGGCACCTTTTTGACGGTTGTTCTAGTACCCGTTTCCTTGGATGTCACAGACTTCGTAACCTTTGTCGCTGTTGTCTTGGTCTTGATCTTATTAGCCTCTGTAGCTTTGGCAATGGCCGTCTTGGACAGCGTGACTCGCTTGGGCTGCTCCTCGGCATCATCGTCCATCTGGGCCTCTGTACGCTTACGCTTCGCAGGCTTATGTGCAATGTGTTTGATAGCATCCGAGGCAGCGGTGTCATCTTTGTCTTTCTTGAGGAATGAAGGGTCCTTGGTAATGTTGCGCAGGAAAGTGTGCATGGTGGTCATAACCTTCTTGTTGGCACGAATGTCGGCATGCTTTACACGAACGTCCTCTCTCATCTTTGCGATTGCCGACGAGAGCTGAGAGAAGGACAGCTGCTCACGCAGGGTGTATATGGCATACCCCGTCATGATGAACTCCACGGGTGAGATGCGGGTAGGTTTTTGAAAACACCTCGAGAACTTCGGCTCTCTGGCAAGATATACGAAGATGCGGAACGTTTCGAGTATGTCGATTCGAAGCTTGGATGGGACGGGTGCAGTTCGTGCCAACCATTTTTCCAGCTGTTGGGATCCAGGAAATATAACCTTGTCTGTGGTGAGATAAACTATTGTGACGAGACACTGAAAGTCGCGCCCTCGCCCAGTGCCCCAGTCTAGCGCGCCTCCGAACCCTTCTTCGCCAATAGTCACAGCTTGGACTTCCCGGATGAGGTCTGGCCAAGGCCCAGATATGGCCTGCATTCTCTCTGTAAATGCAGAAACGGCATAAGCACCGCCATCATATAGCTTATGTTTACAGAAACTGTACCGGCAACCGTAAGAGCCATGCCCATTTGCACACGCTTCGAGCCATTATGTGAGTCAAGACACTCAGTGCTATAGATGGCGATTTCGCCTAACCTGAAAGATCTCTCTTTCTTGCTCCTCATCAATCTCTTCGTACTCCATGCAGACTATCTGCTTCATCAAGAAAGATCCGGTTAGTGCCAATGGGAGCATCGCGCGACCTGGTTTGCTTGATCGCCCGAAGAAATACTTCTTGCCCGTGTCCCTAGCAGCCGCGACTGAGATAGTGACATTTCACAACAAATATCAACCTTACGAGTCCTTGTCTAAGAAGCCATGATCAGATATACACCATTCTCATGGAGGAAAAGTAATCTTACGAGCGATCTTTGAGATCCAACCTAATCAGACCTCAGTACGATGGAGATCCACTTCAGAGTACGCACCTCGCCATCAATGAACCTAAGGGAGAAGGTATGTCAGCGGGTCATAGTTAGGATCAGCCACAGTGACCACACCAACCTGCGCAGGGAAGTCAAGCGCTGCTTGCCGTCGATACAAACTCGAGTTTCTTCTGAGGTCTTGGGATCTTTCTTCACAGCTATTGATCGCGGGTCAATCGGAGGCAAGAACGTGATGACAATGCCGCCCGTACCGAATATGATCGGAGGCACGTAGTAATTTCTCATGAGCGAGTCTATGAGACCCATCTGTTTGCCTTCAGGCCAGACGACATCTGTAAACGGCGTTACCCAACTGTACAACTTCGAGATAATATGCACTCACCTCGTTGATATTGCGGATCTAAGTCGATACTACCGGCAACCAGCAGGTCTACTTGTATATTAGATTAATCGGAGAGAACAGTTCTCTCACGCACCATGTATATGCTTGGTAGAATAGTTTGTTGCTCGGGGAGCACTGAGAGCATTCGTGATCTGTCGAAAAATATCCCGTATTAGGTCTCACTCCGCATATCGAAGATGTAATTCGTGCAGCGTACCCTGTACTCCTTGGGCGGCTGAGGTGGCCTGCCAGGTTTCCTCTTTGTGGGCAAATACTCTTCCTCCGACGAGGACTCAATGTCGGTAAGGTCTGACTCCCAGTCGCTCAACGACATCGATGGGATGAAATACACACTGCTTCGGTCTACACACAGAGAATAGGAGGTGGAGAACACGAGGCAAGATGAGCCACTGTCGAAAAACGCGTTCACGGTCGCGACTTTGAAAGTCAGATTGATTCACCGCAATGCGTCTGACAGCGGAGATCAATGCAAGCTGAGCGTTCAACACGTGATCTCATGTAACAACGCGTTCTAGCCCTAGTCCCGCGCGACGTTCGACTTGCTTTCCGCCATCACAACGGCCCTCGTCTCCCTCCTGTCACTTGGCTTTGCGGAAACTGGCACCAGTTTTGGTCGGTCCCGAGGATAAACGCGTCTTCCATGCGTATTCAGGAGCTAATCATTGACGGTAAGCGAATATGTCTCTTTATTCTCCGATTTCTCTTGACTGTTGTAAAGGCTTCAAGTCGTATCCTGTACGGACTACAATCTCCGGATGGGACCCTTCTTTCAACGCCATCACAGGGCTTAATGGCTCGGGCAAATCCAATATCTTGGATGCGATATGTTTCGTGCTGGGAATCACTAACATGTCTGCGGTGAGTCCCTTGTCTGACCTGTAGACGACCTCCTCACGCATACCAGATGCGTGCGCAAAATCAAGTTGACCTGATATACAAGCGGGGCCAAGCGGGTGTGACCAAAGCAAGCGTGACCATCGTCTTCGACAACTCTGACCGCGCGAGCAGCCCCGTTGGCCTCGAGAAACAGCCGCAAATTACCGTCACTCGCCAGATTGCGCTGCCGAACATTTCCAAGTATTTGGTGAACGGTCACAAGACAGAACAGCACCGCGTTCAGACAATTTTCCAAAGCGTACAGCTTAACATCAATAATCCGAACTTCCTCATTATGCAGGGACGCATCACCAAGGTACTCAACATGCGGCCGCAGGAGATCCTTGGAATGATTGAAGAGGCCTCAGGTACACGCATGTACGAGGAGCGCAAGGAAAAGGCAATGAAAACGATGGGGAAGAAGGATAAGCGCGTCCAGGAACTCACTTCCCTGCTTGCTGACGAGATCACGCCAAAGCTCGACCGCCTCCGCGAAGAGAAACGTACATTTTTGCAATGGCATAAGGTGATTCAAGAGCTCGAGCGCGTCGGACGCGTCCTGCGCGCATGGGAATGGACCGACTACAACCAGCGCGCGGAGAAGAAAGAGCAGGAGATCGCCACTGCTCAGAGCAACTCGAAAAAGCTTGAGGGGCTGCAGAAGAAGTTACAGAACGAAATGGAGGCGAACGAAAGAGAGGCCGAGGAGGTGGTGAAGCAACGTGACAAGGAACTGAAGAAGGGCGGAAAGTTCAAGAAACTCGAAGAAGCCGTTAGCGACCTCGGCAAGGTCCTAGTCAAAATCAAGACTCAAATCGATATCAAGAATGGGTCCATTGCGGACGAGGAGGGAAAGGTGCAAGGTCTTGTGGACGCTCTATCTGAGGTGCGTTTACAAACTGCTTCGACGCTCACCGTTTCTCATTCACCACACAGGCCGAGCAAGCTTTGAAGGACAAGCGTGCTCAGGTTACAGAGTTCGAAACGTCTCACGGCTCAGTCAAAGAAAAACACGCGACGCTGCAAGCGTCCCTGACCAACGCCGAGGAACTCCTTCAAACCCTGCTCACCGGTCTTTCGTCAAAGTCTGCAGGTCAGTCCGGCGGTGGATACATGGGCCAGCTCGCCGATGCGCGTGCCCGTCTGGCGCAGGCCACAGCCGAAGAGGAGCAGAGTCGCGTCAAGCTTGCGTCTGCCGAGAAAGATCTCAAGGCGCTGCAGGCGCGGTGGAAAGACGTCGAGCGTGAGGCTGGCGAAGGCAAGCGCAACCTCACCTCTATGAAGGCCGAGGTAGATAAGGCGCGGCAAAAGCTTGACCGGACTGGCTGGGATGCAGAGAAGATGCAGGAAGGGGAAGTCGCTCTGCGTGATGCGAAGAACGAAGTCCGCGGGTGGACCGAGGTAGGTCTCGTATTAGACAGCGATCACTGTAACATACTCACGCGTGATCGTAGAGGCGCGACACGATCAAACAGCGACTCTCGTTCTTGGACTTCAACTACACCGATCCCCACGCTAACTTCGACAGGTCGCAAGTGAAGGGTCTTGTAGCGTCGCTTGTCTCACTTGCACCGGAGGATTACAACAAGTCTACTGCACTCGAGATCGCGGCAGGCGGGAGGCTGTATAACGTCGTAGTTGACAACGAGCGTGTCGGCAAGGACCTCCTGCAGAATGGTCGGCTGAGGAAGCGCGTCACCATCATCCCGCTGAACAAGATCAACGCGCACAAGCTTTCTGCGCAGGTGCGTCGAGTCGTTCTATGCACCATCGAACGTTGATCTATCTCGAGAACAGAAAATGACCGCGGCGAACCGTTTGGCCCAAGACAAAGTTCGCTTGGCAATCTCGCTTATTGGGTACCCCGAGGAAGTCGCGAACGCGATGAGCTTCGTTTTCGGCGAGACCCTTATCTGTGATGATGCAGAATCTGCGAAGCTCGTTACCTTCTCGAGCGCTGTCGGCGTGAAGTCTGTGACCATCGATGGTGACGTGTACGACCCCTCGGGTACCCTTAGTGGAGGTGCCGCTCCGAGCGGAAGCGGTGTCCTTGTGCGTGTGCAAGAGCTCCTCGATGCAGAGCGCAAGCTTGGCGAAGCGCTTGGCCGGCTGCAAGCGCTCGAACGCGAGGAACAACGCACGAGGCAAGGTCGCGAACAGTGGAAGCAGCTTGCGAAGGAAGTCGAGCTCAAGGAGCACGAACTTGCCCTTCTCGAGCAGCAGGTGGCTGGCAGCAATTCGGCTAGGGTGAGCGCTGCTTGAGCATACACCCAGGTGTTATTACTGACATGACACGCAGCTCGAGGCGGATGTCGAAAGTGCGAAACAGAGTATCACGGAGCTCAAGAATGCTCTCACGAATACTCAGGAGCGCCAACGGCAAGCAAAGGAGGATATCAAGAAGCTCGAGCGCGACATGGACGAGTTTAAGAACAACAAGGAAGGCAAGATTGAAGAACTTAAAGTACGCTTCTCTATGCAGGAAGCATACACTCCAGGTCTTCATTCTTTCGCATGCTATATAGAAAGATATCCAGAAGAAGAAGGGTGAATTGCAGAAGCATGCAGTCCTGGTCAAGACTCAGCACAAGGATCTACAGACGGCTACGCTTGAACTCGGTGCGTTTACTTCGCGCCATGATGCATGCAAATGTCAAAGCTGCATCTTTTCGCTTTGCAGAACAACTTGAGAAAGATCTGGAATCCGACCAAGAAGGATTGGAAGAATCCAAAGCTGGCGTCGATAAACTACGCAAAGAGCTTGAGCAACTGAATGCGAAGTATAAGACCGAGGAAGTAAGCATGCGCAATTTCTAACAATCGAACCCGCTCAATATCTGTTCTAGGCTGCTTACCAAGAGGCGGAAGCTCGGCTGTCCGAAGAGCGCGCCACTCTCACGCGATACGACAACGAGTTGAAGGACCTTGAGTCAACAATCAAGACCAAGAAACAAGCTATTTCCGATACACAGCTACAGCTCAAGCAAATCGAGCACGATGTAGCCAACGCTCAGAAAGAGAAGCAAGCGATGGTGAACTCTATTGCCTCTCTGGAAAAGCAGCATGATTGGATCGAGTCCGAGAAGACGTGAGCTATCTCGCGCCTGACGTTTCGTAACAACGATACTAACTGAAAGTCGCCAGCCTGTTCGGTCGTTCTGGTACGCCTTATGACTTTTCAGGTCTTGACGTGCAAAGCCTACGAGAGAAGATCCGTGAGCTCGAGGGTCAGCAGAAGTCGATGAAGAAGAAGGTCAATCCCAAGGCCATGAACATGATTGACAGTGTCGAGAAGCAGGAGGCCACATTGGAGAAGAAACTCGCGACGGTCCTCAAGGATCGCGAGAAAATTGAGAAGACTATCGAGGAACTTGACAAGTTCAAATTCACTACACTCGAGGCCACCTGGGCTAAAGTCACCAAGTAAGCGGTTTCCGTTTATGCTCTCCTGCGCGAGTCTCATTGTTTATCTAGGGATTTCGGAGAGATTTTCGCGGAGCTTCTGCCTGGCAATACTGCTAAGTTGCAGCCACCCGAGGGCCAGGACTTGACACAAGGTCTCGAAGTCAAAGTCCGCCTTGGCAGCGTCTGGAAGCAGAGCCTCACCGAACTCAGTGGTGGCCAGCGGTAAGCCGTCCTCGACCACATCCACAGCGCCTCGGACAGTTTTGACGTTATCACACAGGTCGCTCATCGCACTTTCATTGATCATGTCTCTCCTGCAGTTCAAGCCGGCACCGATGTACATCCTCGACGAGATCGATGCGGCGCTCGACCTGTCCCACACGCAGCACATCGGCCAGCTCTTTCGGAACCGTTTCAAGGGCAGCCAGTTCATCGTGGTCAGTCTCAAGGAGGGCCTCTTCACGAACGCGAATGTCCTCTTTAGGTGAGCACATCTGCCCGCGGTTCAAGCATAGGTATGCTGATAATGGGATGGGATGTGCAGAACACGGTTCCGTGACGGTACAAGTATCGTAGAGAGGACAGGGCAGCGTAGCACGAGTACGCTGTATCACGACAGGGAAGAGCAAGAGAACGAACGACCGCGCGCGAGGAGGCGGGAGGCTTAAATATCCTACCCGATGGCCTGCTCGGCACCCCTTCATATCCACCGTTCTTAGCACTCGCTGTCTGTCACGATTATCCGCCCCCTGTTTGGTTCAGCTGCTTTTCTGTTGTATCTTTTTGCAAGGCGTAAAATTATGTTATTGTATGAGTGTACTAGAATGTAAAATAGAGTAGCTCTCTAAGGCTTTACATCGCAGGTCTGGATGCGAAGCGCATAAGCTTACACTCTAGTGGCAACATGCGACACCGGACAACGCAGATTAATGTATAAAGTCTGAAACGACGCTATCTAAGCCACAGAAGCAAGCTTACACTGGTGCAGGCGGGTATCCAACCGTAGTGTTCCAGTCATATCCAATAGGGACGCTCCAGTCACCATGACAGCCCCAAGCCCAGTCTGTGGTGGCAATCATCTCCTTCATGGCGTCGACGAACGTGTCAAGCGGGCAGAGTCCATCTTCCTGCATGGGGCAGCCCCGGATCGACGTCAATGGCACGACACCGTCGTTCACAATAATTCGGATCTGCGGGTCGGGTACAGAGGTGCAGGAAAGCACTGACATAGCAGGGTGAGTAGGCGATTTCAAAGTGCGGGAGACAGGAGAGACATACGTTGGAAGTGCACGTTCGTCGCGAAGGGCGCTAGATGCGAAACCTTGAAGGAGCGATCCGACGGGATATGGTCGTACGGCAACGGCCCCGACGCGGCGAAGTTGGTGAGGTTTAGCGCCGTCAGAACTAGCCAAGTAGGCGTACGTCAACACACGATCAGTAAACAAGTACGAGATACGCACTGTTCAGCACGACAACCTCATGTGTCGCATCGACGTAGAGGCTCTGGCCGAGCGGGAACGTCGCGGGGCTGTCGTCTAGCGTCGCATTCGTCGAGGAATTATGTGTCGCAATAGGCGTGTGCGTCAGCCGCGCGACAAGCTCCTGGACGTACCCGATGCCTTGTATACGGGAGACAGGGGAGCCGAAGGCCGAGTCGTACCAGAAATACAAGTCCATTCTAAAGGACCTCAGCTCGCGGATGACATGCGAAGAGAAGACGAGACTTACGCGTAATCAAAACCTACCCACTCGTCTTCGGTGAACAGTTCGCAAAACTTAGAGTAGCCGATGGCGACAGTCTCGTACGCGCACATCTGCTGCAGAGTGTACACATCCTCGATCGTCAGGTTGTAGCCGTGTATCTGCGGTGCAAGGCGTGCTTGTGCGTCCTTAAGATAGACCTCAGCCCACTTGCGCACGAACCACGTTCCGCGGTCCGCCTTGGTCTTGTCGTCAGTGTTCGGGCAGCTAATGAAGCGCATTAGTGTTGAAAGATTGTATAAAGCAAGGAGCGTACGTCTTATATGGAGCAAGAGTATTATTGAATCCTTTCGCCTCAATAGTAATGCTTTGTTGGTACAGGCCGTCGAGCGGGTAGCCAAAGAAGCCAAGAGCAAAATTCAAGGCGGATGCAAGCATACGGTCCCTATATACGTGTCAAGTGATTTTCGAGTTTTTCGAGAAGTATTACGGACGTACTGCGACTCTGTACGGAAGACGGGTATTGTATTGGTCTCGGAGAAGTTCTGGCATAATGTTAATTACACGGCTTGAGCAGAGCGCGCAGGGCATACCTTCAACAGAAAGCCGTATTTCATGCGTGTCGCAATACCCAGATCAACTACAAAAGCAGTTAGACACGTGGAGACGGGACAAACATGCACCTACACAACTGCTCGCGACCAAACGGAGTCAAGACTAGCGCAGGTTAGCAGCGAATGTTGGACAAGACCAATGCAGTTCGCACCTTCTTGACCAAGCTTGTATGTCCTGTCTGACACTTCAGTTATTTCGTTAGGCCAGAACCAGATTATGACGCACCACTCGTTCATGAAAGCCAGGTCACCCGTGGTTGTCCACTTCGACGCGATCTGATTGAGACGTCCAGAGAAGTTCGCCGGACCGCCATATGATGCTATACGGCGTTTAGCAACGAGTGTCACAAACCATGCGATACACTGACCAAATTCAGTAGGGTATCTCGCGCCATGGCGGTGCAGGAGATGAAGACCGGTGAGACGACACGTCTCTGGCACGTCCGGGCTTGAGTCGAGGCCAAACGCGCCACGCTCGACGCTAAACCACGGCGAGAGGTTGCCCCAATGCCTGAACAGGTCGAACCTGGACGACGTCTTGTTGCCTTTGCCCGTGAATGCGGGCGCAACGAGGTTCGGCGCGCCGGTGTGCACGGGGTACGACGGTGCGGTCGCGATGAGCGCAGGCTCTGCGCCCGTCGGCGTCGGGCCCGCGTAGCCGACGGACGTGGGGAAGAGGGATGGAAAGACGTTTGTTGGCGAAGCAGGCGGGAAGTTGTGCGCCTCAGACGAGCCAGCGTATGGCGGGGCGAAGGCCTCGACGTTACGGTGCGGCGTAGGCACGTCGCTGCCGCTCGGTGACGAACACACGACGTACTGCACTGCGAGACATGAGAGGATACCAGCGAGGAATGCGGCAGCGGTGTAGAGCTTGGGGTGCGATGCGTAGCTCGATTGCCGGGGACTGCTCGTACGAGCCGGCTCGGGTTCTGAGACGTCGGACTGGGGGAGAAGGGCTTCATGCTCTTCGGACTTGTGCTCGGCGCCGGACTCGACGTCCTTGTAATGGCTCATAGTCGAGGCGGGCGGCCACAGTGGTGGGTGTTGAGTGCAGGCAGGGGCGTGAATGCGCTTGTGGCTATAGGCGATGCCGACGGTCTCCATGTGTGGGTGATGCGCCGATGGCGGGATATGCCGTATCCGCTTCACGAGCGCTGTACACGCTTGAACACGTCTCGCTAGCCCCTTCGCCTATCCTTCTTGAGAGCGCACACTGCAGCCCGGTTTCATATTACCAATTCATCATACTATAAGAACACGGTTGGATCAAGCTCAAAAGCATGGTACGTTAATTGGTAATCCCCAGCTAGTTCCCGCTGACTTTGCGCCTCTATACCTCGTACAACCCGCGTTCGCTACATTGCTTGCTGGATGGGATGTACTCCACGCTCTTCACAAATAAACTCACTCTTCTCATACGACCTGCATCGGACAGTCTGCGCTCTTCAACTTCCAATCCCTCCTGCTCGTCATCCTCCTCATGATCTGCACATGCACGTACATCCGCGCCGTAGCACCGCGGCTCATCGACAGGAACAAGCAAGGGTGCGTGACGACTCCATAACGCTCCTTCCCGCGCTGACATCTTGTTTGTGTTCCGCCACAGATTCCTCGGACTCTTCTGGATGTCCGCACGCATAGGCAAGTCTCCATCCACTGTTTGGGATACACACGCGGGCAAAAAGCGCGGCAGCTCTCCTCGCCGTCCTCATGCTCACATATTGCACACAGGCGAACGGTTATCACCATGGGTATCGATGGCATGTATGGCTATGGCCGTTACTATCCTCATCCAATGAAACCCACTTCGACTTACTGTATACTGTACTAAATCGCTCTCGAATACCCGCCATACCGCATCGCCACCTGTTATCCTAATGTCTATCTATGCCGTAGAACAAATGCCCTTTCCCTGCCGTTGTTTTTCCTTCTGTGCGCAAGCTCTGGGGTCAGATGCCGCGTCATGCCGTTGGGACAGTGAACGTCGAAGAATATAACCTTACGGCAAGACATGATACAGGCCTTGGGATTAATGCTACACGATCCCTATAGTAGAGTACAGACAACCAGAGCGAAACAATCGTGACGTACAACATGATGTACACACAGACAAACTTGAGCCCGAAAGGAAGAATAAAGCGAAGCGTTCGAAGAAGGTATACGGTGTGACAGAAGAATGGAGAAAGAGTCACGTAATAAGAAATAGAGATGTGCACGAAAACAGATAGTGTGGACTTCCCGAAATACAGCGCTGAGCGAGGAGAAATAGTCAATAAAGATAATAGAAGGATAATAGAAAGATAAGAATGCATCGAGCCAGCTTCCTAGAGCAGAACCACACCGGCTGCAACAGCGAATGCAGCAGCGAGCACGCCGTGCTGGACACCCCTACCGAGCGCGGCGCTCTTCTCCGGACTGCCCGCGGAGGCCCAGTCGCGGTAGGCCGCCTGCATCTCGAGCACGAACGCCTGCGCCTCGGGGCTGAACAGGAGGCCGCCGTTGACGCTCGCGTTGGAGGCGTCGACGGGCAGCACGAGCTGCTGCCCAAAGTCGTGGCCGTTCACGACGGGCATGAGCGTCATGCCGCTCGTGAAGTGCGCGAGCCCCGAGCCCGTGCTCGAGCTCTGCGTCGTGAAGACCGCGGCGCGCACGCGCTCCGCCGTGGGCACGGCGTCCTCGACGCCGGCTGCCATGTCTCCGACGGACGTCCCGGACGAAGACGTCGCCGAGGACGGGGGGATGCCTGCCGAGACGAGCGTCGCCAGGCGGTACACGGACGCGGCATACAGGGTGCTCGACGCGGCGTCGAGGAACGTGGACGAGTCGTCCACGTAGTTGTGCAGCAGAGCCGTTTGGGAGTCCTGCAGCACGTGGTCAGCAATAAGCCAACGCGGTATTTGGGAAGAAAAGGCGCACCAGCCACGGGCCAAGCGCACCCTGGATCTCGTGCGCCCATTGCACGAGGTCCGCCTGCTCGGTCTGCAGAGACGCGTTTTGTGGCGAGGACGCGTATATACCGAGGACGCGGACGATCCCAGCAGCGGCCCACGCGTTACCGGTGCTCCAGAAGCCATTGTCGGCGCCACTCCCGAGCGCCATGTGTCTCCAGAGCCCACTCGTGCTCGGACCCTTTCCGCTCGCGCTTCCATTGTTTTGTAGGTATTGCCGGTACAGCCGGATCTGGTCATGCGCCATGCGTGTGACACTATTGTTCCCGGTTGCCACGCCGTAGTACGCCAGGAACGGCGGAACCATGTACACAAAGTCCGACCAGAGCTGCAGCTGCTCCGGGCGATGGCTGATCGCGCCATCTGTTGTCTTCGGCACGCCTGTGAGCAGGTACTCGAGCTGGGATGTCGCTGCTCCGGCGTATTCTAGGTTGTCCTGCTGGGACCGCCCAGTAAGATTCGCGAGGATGACCGCAAAGCCCGTGCTGGGCGGGTCGCCGGCGGCGCTATTCGGTAAGAGTGGCGCGGCAAGGCCAGTAGTATTGCCTGTGACATTATTCTGGGTGGTCCAGTTTTGAGTGACGGATTTCGCGTAGCTGAGTACCTCGTCTAGGGTCTGGGGTGGCGAGGACGTGAAGAACGACGAGAACTGGACGCCGGGGGATTGGGGCGACCAGGAGGGCGTGTCGAGCTCCAACAGCGCTTCGGCATATGTGCCAATTTCCCAGGACTGCAGGTCGCTGGCTGAAAGTGCGGCTTTGATGGCGTCCGTCTGCGACGAGGTCAGGTTTGAGGACTGGGATGCCTGAACGAGGGGAGAGGCGATAAGGAGCGACGCGAGCGTTGTCGAGAAGAAAAGAGCGTGCATCTTTGCGGTTGGCAATCCAGAGGATAATGCGTACGCGACTGAATGACCGGAACTGCAGGGCACCTGAAGGGGGAGGGGGGGAGGGGGGGATTAAAGGCAAGAGAGATGGGCAGCTGGGTGAAGATATAGAGCGCACATGCAGCCTCTAGGAACCCCCACACGATCCCGTCAATCTTGCAAACAGGATGGTCCGATGTTCGAGCTCGTGCAGGCACAATCCGGAAAGATCCAATGTCAGAGTTGTATCACGTCGGCGTTCCAAGGCCGGCTGCGTTGCCACACGTTCAGATGACAGCCTTGATTAGCTCGCTGAAAGCTGAAGACTGGAGAAGCATACGGCGAGAGCAAGCAATAGGGGAGAAAAGCAGAGATACCGAGCGGAAGCAGGCTGGTGGAAGCCAAGGCGGAAGTGGAACAGCCGGCCCATGAAGATCATGACATCATTGCAGTCCTGGGCCCCGTATATTGGCGGCTGCCCAGGATGGATGATCTGAAATGATGTTAATTAGAGTCTCTTAGAGTTGTATGCACGCGAGGTCGTCGATGGTGGGCGAAACGAAGAGCCTGGCGAGAGCGAGAGCGCTTAGTCGTCGGGAATTGTGATCTGACGTCATGCACGCATACCAACTCGCAGAGCGAAACCCGGGACAACACAATGACTCTCGTAGCACCAGGAAACGATTCGAAGATTGCGAGAGGTGCTTGTAGCGAGAAAAGCGACAGACGCAGGAGATGAGTTTCGAGAACACCCTCGCGCATCCTGCAGCCAGCCACAGGACGATGGTCAAAGTTCAACACAGCGCTCTCGGACGTCGCTGTCGTTCTCGCCGCGTCCGTCTACACACTCTATGAGCGTGACTTGACCGTGAGCTAGCGCACCTCTATCACTTCATTGTTCTTCTCTAATCTCGGTATCCTAGGCTCGCATGGTGCACTTCGCGCTTCCTGACATATTGTATAAGACTGCGTCCTCCTCCCAGCGTCGACGTACAGGACCATCCACAGAAGCTGTCCCATTAATATTGGCGCTAGCTCCAATCGATACTGCCCCATCGCAACGTAGCTGTCCTTCGTTTGGTTGTGTCTTAATCACTGCATTCTTACTAGCAATTTTTACAGGGTCGCACTGGAGCTTATATAAAAATTCCTGGTCACGGTACTCGTTCAGGATATGCTCGACGTCGGGAGAGCTATGGCGGAGCCACCCTGCCGATCCTACGCTGCAGTCGGGCAAAGCGGCTTGGGAGATAGACGGCGACGAGATGCAGAGCATACGCAGAGAAAGGAATTTTCAGGTCTATGCACACGCCAAGTGAGCCACTCGTCCTCACCCGTCATCTTTGTTGCTGAAACTGATGTGGTTTTGCAGGTTCCCGGGATGGGAGAGCACCATTGTTAATACAACCGTGATACTCTCATTCCGCCCTAATGATATCGATTATTGGCTGTTCTGCGCCTTGAATGGTTTTTAAAGCCATGTCATGTGCTGTATATTGTATTTGTCTGTGCATGTTTATTTGTTTACTCATATGTATATATTGTACTTGCTATCTAAGTCAGGCATGATGTACGCCGGTTGTAGTCACAGATAACCTGCAGATGGCATGCTGAACAGTTGGCCTCAAGGATGTGAAGACTTTAATTCAGCTCGTGCGCGGTAGCACTGTGGACATGTGGCTTGGGATATAACTCCCAATAAGAAACCGCCGTCGCGAAGCGGCAGGGGCGGGAGCAGCGCCGGCGACAGCTTGAGCGGGACCAGTTGTGACATGCTCGAGGCAGATAAGAAACGGTCCTAACAGGATGTAATGCATGATGTTGCTACCATACACTCGCTTATACGAAGATGAAATTACTCTGAGACTAGCATACAAGATCATTGGTATACGGCGACGCGCGACCGTAGTTAGCTCTGCATGTCCGGCGGAACAAAACATTCCAGCGCAAGGATCAGGTCGCCGGGTGCCTCCGTGTCGGACTGCATCATCCCAAGGCACGACCTCGCCAAATCTTGGTCCTCAGAGTACAAGGTTTCGGGAGATGTCTGCGACGTATCCTGGCTAGGGTTCGACATAGTCCAACCCTCCCCAGCATCGGCAAGCATCCTCCGTGGCGGCCTCGTCCAGCCCTGTTCGGCATGATAGGCTTGGACCAGCTTCGCGAGCAGATCCCAGATGTCGCGCCACAGGGACTTCACGTCGTGAGTCAGGCGCTCCCCTGGTACCACCTGATGGACATCCACGTAAAGCTCGCAAAGCCGCAACGCATCTAGCGCGCCGAAATTGTCTTGAAATTCGGTATCGTCCATCTTATCAATGAGAACGGAAAGTCTCGCGCGAGACTGCTCCAAGCACTCCTTCAGATCTGCAGTTATGGTGGTTAGTGTGTGCAATATTCGCTTATCGGGGCCTAGCAATACGCACCAGCGGCGCGGAGCAGGTTGCGACATGTATCAAGGATTCCCGGGTCCTGCAGCCGATCCTTGGGATGTAACGTCGCGAGGAGCCAGAAGATGCCGAACGAGCCTTCGTTGGCCCACATGGATCTGAACAGCTTTAGAAGCCCCCCGCTCGCGTCCATCTCGAACACGCAGCGCGAAAGCAGCATGAGCACGCCAATGACCTCTGCAGACACGTCGCGCCACTGCGGGGAGGGAATGTTCAGCTGCGGAACACACTTCTCCAGGAATTCCCAGAGATCCTTGAGGACCTCCGGCTTGCGCGGATTTTGCATTCGCAGAATTTCTGTTAAAGATCTGCGTGCAGCGGTTTTTGCGAGATCTGGCTGAGTGTTGGGATCTGGCTGGGAGCTGGAAACCGACCGGGAGCTGGGATCGGACTGAGAGTTGAGTTTGTCCTCTGGGGCCAGATAGCAGGCATACAGGTCGAGACACGCCTTCAGAGTGAGACCGTTCGTACATATCGACGCGAGGCGTCTCGAAAGTGGAACGAAAGCGCTGGCGGATGTACGTTTCCAGACAAGGTTGACTATGCGGGGTGTATGGCCGAAGAGAAGCTCGAGACACGCAGCTGCGTCACGCGAGACTTCATGAGTAGGTCGAGACAGGAGTAAGATGACTGCGTCTACGAGCCATTCGGGAAGGGTCGGCTGCAAGTTGGTGTGGCTCTTGATTTTCCCACGGATAATCTCCGCCACGATGTCGGTTATCGTCGTCCATTTATCGTCCGGGAGTGAATCCGGGAACTGCAAGATGGTCGTGAATACTTCACGCGGAACAACCTTCCCGCTGTCGCCGAGCAGATAGCGTAGCGCGGCCACGACGGACCAGAGTGCATCGGCTGGTGCGACGCTGTCACTGAGAAGCGGCTCTAAGGTGGCTTTGAGAACAAAGGACGGCTGCGACAACCAGCTTTGGAGGGTGCGGGTCACAGTAGGAGGGAGGTCCAGCTGCGACGGCGTGAGCAGCAGCACCGCCGCTCGTTTCTTGAAGGATGTTAGCTGGTTTAACGGGGTTGGAGGCGAATGATCGGCGTCCGAGTACCACCTCGTGCCAGCCGGCGCAACCGCGAGTATTTCGCCGGCCTTATTCATGAGGGTACCCCATGCGGCCTGCAGCTGCTCCATTGGTTGAGGAGACCGTCCGCCTGGATCGCGGACAGGCAGAACCTGAACGAACCTAGTGATGATCCAAAGCAGATTGTGCAATGTTTGTGCGGCATCGCTGACAGGTTGCTCGTAATCCAGCGATATTTCGTCGAATGGTCCTGCGAACAGCGGGAAGAGATCTTGATCGCCGGGGAAGGGACTGAGCGTGTCAATCAGAAGCTTCAGCTCGGGTGGGCTGAGGGCATATCGCTGGAGCACATCCAAAGCAAGCTCGGGTAGATTCTGGTCCGACCGCGCGAGCAGGATGGTGAGGGCATAGCAGGCCCACGAACCCTGCTTAGGCCGCTGTACGGCGAGTGGTGCTAGACCCTGCGCCACCTTTCTTGTGAGCTCGGTGAAGGCCTCTGCAGGGAGTGTGTGGAGATCTAGGACGGGGGATATACGCGGTTTCTGGCTGTAGAGTCCGACCTTGGTGAGGAACTGTGTGGCAGCGCGGATAATGGAGACCAGGTCAAGGCTATCGTACGACACTTTCTGCATGGTGGAATTGGCCATGGCATGAAGCAATTTGCGCATAACGGCTGTGTTAGATACACAGGATAGAAGCGCTTTCTGCATGTCGTTGCTCATACTGCTCTGCGGAGCTGAAGCTAGGAGCATCGCCGCATCATGCGACCAGCTCGAGGTATCGTCGTCGATAGGCCCAGCTGTAACCGCCGTTGCGACCTCTTGGAGCAGCTTCTGGCGTACACCGTATGTGATATGCTGAAGAGTTGGCATGGATTCGAGGGGTAGGCTCAGGCCGCCCGGCTTGAAGTACAACGAGAGGAAGCGGAGCACTGCGCGTACTCTGTACGAAGGGTGCCCGAATGCCGCGGAGAGTGCTGCTGATCCATTCTCGGTGTTATTGGGAGCGAGCATGGCAGTAGATAGAGCGTCCAAGATCACAGAGAGAGGTCGGCTGCCGATTTCATAGCCGCACATGAAATCCCTCACGTCCCGTGGTACAGCTCGAGACGATCCGGAGAACAGGATGAGGATGGCATTTGCAACGGAGATATCCTCGGTCGTAGGAGCAGAACCGTAGGGCAGATTGTTGATAAAAGTGAGCTCCTGCGCACGGCGGGCAGTCCGTATTTTATCGTGCTGCTTTAACGCCTTCATCGCCGCCTCCATGATGTTCGACAGAGGCTGATAGGTTGTTCGGTCCTGCAGAACGTCGAGGTCTAGGAGTTTGGGCTCGTGAGCAGCTGGAATGGGGTGGCCACGGTTCGAAAGGGCGAGACCGATGAGGGTGAAAATGAGCTCCATGGTGGTCGTGATGTCGGCACCTGATCGGGTGACCGCGGGCGAAACCACGTTCTGTAGTATGGCGTGATTTGGATCGTGTTCCTCTAGGACGCACCGGTAAACAGTGGCGTGGCGACGCGGAGGGAGCTCGTGGCCGCTTGGAGACAAGACGAGCGCGAGCGCTTTGACGAGCCAAGTCGGCGCTTCAGTGGACGGAGAGACCTCGAGATGATGGGTGGTGATGGTGTTGACGACAAGAGACGATAGCTCAGTCCAGTCTTGGTTGGATAACAGATCCAGGGGCAGGTGACCGTATGTGTTAACGACGTCCTCAGCTGTGGCTGCGACACGATGAGCGATTAATTTTAGCACAAAGTCAATGACATCGTCTGGCTTGTGCGGATCTTGCTGTCGAAAGGCGCCGAGTATGGTCGGTAGAAGACCATTACCGGGGAGGATAGCGTCAACGGATACGAGAATTTCGCTGTCGTCTTGATGTCTGTGAGCGTTGATGTTGTGTTCCTCTTCCTCCTTCGCAGCAGCCACTTCCTCCTTTGAAGGAAGCCACCGTGAGCTGTCAGCGGCGTCACCGCCGGATGGCTGCGCACTCCCGTGCCCCAAGATTCTGCGGTACAGAGCGCGGAATAGATACACTAGCGAGAACGCGAGTGTCGGGAGGAACGGGAAATGTTCACGACCAGTCTTCATGGTATGCTTGAGAAGCGTGACCTTGAAAGGGCAACGAGGCGAAAGAAGGGGGGAGATTATGGCCATACCAAAGAAGAAAATCCAGCCGCTAACAAGTGGTAGAGTCGTGAGGCCAAGCTGACGGTTGAATGCAGCTGTGAAGTAGCATAGTCCAATAAAAAAAAGTCCCAGGGACAGCTGAAGGAGGAGAGGAAGAAGGGCCGCGATGCTGAAGACATGCCATGACTTCATTGCCGGATACCGATATTGACGAGCGCGAAGCCGTTCTTGAGGAGATGCGTATTCCATCGCAAGGTACTCCGTAAGCCACTGTTTGACCATAATAGCATAGGACGCAGTGGCCATACTTATGACAAGGCTCGCAAACCAAAGAATGTTGACCCGGACAGCCCATGTCGGAGCGACGAAGTCAGAATCATCGGTGACTGCCGGAGGCAAGCGTCTTGTGCGCCGAACGGCTTGTCCAGCTGATGCTGCGCCTTGAGAGACAAGCTCTCGCAAGAGTACGACAGTTTCAGCTCCTCGATCAGGCAGGAGAAACCCGATAGAAAACACCGAAAATGCCGCAAGAACGGCGGAGTACAGGCCAGCCTATCAGACATTAATGTAAGCATTATGTGAGAGGAAGAGATATTCTTACGAAAAGAAGTAGTGCATCTATATCTTCCTTGGATGCTTTGACCTTCTCCGTGTCGAACTCCCGCACAGTGGTCTGCATGTCCGACCAACCCGTTTTCGTCGACGCAGTAGTGTCTGGGGACGAGTTTTCGCGCGTCTGCAAATCCGGTCCTCAGAGGATATACATACACATCCACAACGCAGTACGCACAGCTTGTACCCCGCATCGACAATTCTCGCAGAATTTTGGGAGCATTGTCTTGCTGCTATTTCCCCCATCTTCCGGTTGGGAACGCCTGTATTGATGTACAATCTCGCAGTATAATGGGACAACTCACCGGTTAAGCTCGTAGAAAAGCTTAGCATGGTAGTGGTCGAAGACGCCGCCGCCATGGGGACAGCTGCGAGTGTATGATGCGAGTTTTCCATGGTCGCCATTGGCATAAAGCAGAGTCGTTGACGAACAACCAGACGTCGCGCTGATGTTCTTGGTGATCTTATTGCGTCGGTGGTACGACCGTCGAGTGATGACAAGATCGGGGGAGGACAGCTAGTGGTAAGTCCTAATCCCACAGCCTAAGGTTGGACATTAGTAAGAGCAGCGTTTAGGAGCTTTCTCACCGGAGTCCCGAGTGATTGCGCTACGTCCAAGTTGTGCTCGCTTCCATGCTTTCCTAGTATGCTATTGAATTGCGGAAGCGGTAGAGCGCCTCAGCCTGGCACCATACTGTACTTTTTCGACATAAATTGCGGCAGGTGTCATTGTACCTGCACAGCCGTAACGCTGACAGCAGCCGTGGTTTTCGGTGGCTTGCTCCGAGTCCAGCCGTCGCGAAGCTTGAACAGCGGCTGCCGACAAAATTTTGGCGGATACGCGTGCAAGGTGTGCCGAAACTTTTGCTAGCACACCTGTAGTACTGCCTGTTGTATACCAGTGAACTTCTCTCTGGCCTGTGAACGACAGATTTGAGGTTTGGACAATAAGCGCCAAGTCAAAGGCCAACTTGAAATTTCAGATAGACGCCTCGGGATGCACTGGCAGATGATCACCGCCGGTATCTAATCAAACTCACAACATCCTCCCGCTGGAATGCTTGGATAACGGCTCGTCCGTAGGCTGGACAGTCTGCGTAAAAGAAGATTCAGCGTTGGACTCATGTGATGTTGCTGGGTCAAACCGCTTCTCAGATCTCAGCAGCCGACAGGTGCCCAGTATCATATCGTATGTGTGTGGTAACGCTGCATAATCCTGCAAGGCATGGAAGATGGATATCAGTCCACGGACCGACATTTCCAACTCTCGATAGATGATATTGGCATGTAGATAATATGGTACGCACCGGAGATACCCCGAACTCTATTCCCAGACCGGTGGCTGTGGGTATACTGACGGTCTCTTCCTACCTTCACGACGTCGACCATCCCCCGACACCAGTATGTCTGGAGTCAGTTTACGGAAACCGCTAGACAAGGCGAAAGATTTCTACCGAAAAATATCTCAGACGTCTCCGCGTGAAAACCTCCTGGACTCATCGTCATCGCAGCTCAAGCTGCCGCCACCAATTGCTCGCACATCATCGGCAGCAACAATAGACGGCAGCACACTCAATGCTACCTATAGTTCGTACCACCAAGTCTACCCGCAGTTATCCGACTGAGACTCGATGGTTGAACGATAGGTTTTCGCGAGGCCTGGCAACTGAGCATCATCGATGTGCAGCGCGTCCGCAATATGCTGCGGCGCATATTCCTGGTCGATGTCGTCGACAACATCTTACTGCACGCGGAATACTTCGCCGTCTTGAGCAGAAAGGGGGAGAAAACAGTTGTCGAGGACGACGATCACGTCCGTGTCCTGTCATTCCCAATGAACAAGACGCTGCGGGAGAGCATCAGGCGCGTCACTGTGCGCATCTACGGGCATGATCAGGGACCAAGCGCGTACCTCCAGGATCAGGGTTCCAGAGACAAGTCATGGACGTGGTACACACTGAAGAGCGGTCAGTGGGAGGAAGAGATCGCACGAAATAGCCGCACCGTTTTGGAGCCGAAGGCCCATGTGTGGACCTGCAAGGAGGGGGACAGCGAGATGACGCATATTCGTCAAGGAGATGAAATTGAGGTGTGGGCACATGCAAAGTGAGTTCCCTGCGGTCTGCTTGTCGGCGATGATGATTGGACTCATCTCCGTTCAAGGCTATTTGGCTGGAAGAATTATGTCGAGGGAGTAGAGATCACCATATTCTTCTACCCGAACGATAAGAAATCCCCGATAAATTCTCGTGAAAACGAGACCGCGCGAAGACGTTAATAGGCGATGGTAGAGCACACTCGGTAAACTGGTGCACTTAGTATTGGCATCTAGATATTCACTGCTCATTATGCACTGATTTCTGAATATCCCATATATTTTATATCTCGATCGCAGCACAATTGTGAAATATACATACGTACATTCCTTCAATCAGATACTTTTCCGTCACCAACTGAGACTCGGGCCGCAGGCGGGACCCACTGGCAGCTCCAGTATGGCCGAGGCTTGTACTATATTGCGCACGAACTGTCGGAAAAATAAAATTCCCCTTGAAATGCCTTTCAAGGCAAGTCAAGGCGTCAATGATACCCGGACATTGTAGTCTCGTAAACCATCTGCATCAGCAGCGCTCGGACGGAACCGAGCGAGACTGCGTCGGACTTCGAAAAACCGAAGTGCAGTCTCTGCTAGAGCGTCTGGTGACAATCGTTTGGGCGGGTGTGGATCGCGCGCACGTGACCTCGACGCGCGAGACGCGGCTCATTAAGAGCTAGGTGCCGGCCACGCACATCTCGCCTTCCACTCACTCTTTCTCTGCCGAAATTTTTATACACCCAGATACTATGCTCTATTAGTAGTATATCAAGCAAAAACCGCCTGACGACATCAAGAAATCGTAGATTATAATGTCAACCGCCGATGCTACTAGCAATTCCACTCCAGATAATGAATTCTGCTACCATGTCCTCAACGAAGCCCGCCGTAAAGCTGCAAAAGAAAGGAAATACGACTCCGCAGCATTTCGTGCAGCTTTATCTGCGAGAATCAATGAATTCTTTGGTTATCTGCCCCATGAATACCAGCTAGACATAGGCGAGGCTATAGAGCTTGGCCTCGACTGCATTCTCGTCGCAGGAACTGGAGCAGGCAAGACTCTGACCTTTGTAATGAAGCTATTGCTCAAGATGCAAGAGAAGAGAATGGTGCTTGTAGTATCACCTTTGAACGAGCTACAGAGGGACCAGGTAGGCTTTTAGGTGAAACCCGCATATATACACACATTTACCATGCATACACATACGCAGGCTCAG